ATATCTCATACCAAACCCAAACTTAAATATCATAATTCTAAAATTTCTCTCGAATACCATACCAAATATTGAATTATCAAAAAATTTAATTTGATTCGATAATTTAATTTTCGATACTTTATGCTCAGCCCTATGCGCCATGAATCAAAATTAACCGGACCAAACATCGAATGAAAGCTAAAAATAAAAAATAAATATATGCATTCCTATTTTACGAATGAAACGTATGTATATTTTATTATGAGAAAATCAAAAGTAGGTGACCAAATATGGTATACAATAGTATTAGAATTAATATACTGTTTATTTCAAAAAAGGCTAAAGTATTCATTATCCCCTGAACTTGAAGTTTTTTATTTGGTGTACACCTAAATTATATTTCGTTTTAATTATCCCCCGAACTTGTTTATTCCTCCATCACGTACACCTTTTTTGTCCACCTGCTCCTATTGAGACTACACGCGCGTGACAGCTGGCAAAAGTGGTGATGTAGATTTCCACCTGGATAAATAATAGCCACCTCGATAAATTAATATGGCAAAAAAATAAATATCAAACATTCATTGTTTAAAAGTTATTTTTGAATAAGGGCTGATTTCACGGAACTCCTTCTGGATTTGGATTTTTCTAGACGTGAAGTTGGTCGATTAAATTTCAAATTTGTCTGAAATTCTTACCAAGTAAGTGTTAATCTTTGTTTCCTTTACTTTTTGCACTATTTTTCGTTTAGAATATGCCAAATATTAAAGAAAAATGGAGATTTTACGTTTTTTTTTACCGTTGTAGCTTTATTATGTGGCAAAAAATCACTCCCTCACGCGCCTAGTAGAGTGTGTTGTCAATTTTTACGCTAGGTGGACAATAAAGGTGTACGCGATGGAGGAATAAACAAGTTCGGGGGGGAGGGGTAATTAAAACGGAATAAGTCGTATGCAAATGAATTCACTTTTGGTATAGAATAAATGGGCGAAAGCCCGATTAAGGTTCCAACTTAGGAATCAATCAACTAGTTTAGGTGTACACCGAATAAAAAGCTTCAAGTTCAGGGGGGTAATGAATACTTTAGCCTTGAAAAAATGAGCAACTTTCACATATAGCAAACACAAAATTCATATTTGTATGCTATAACAAAGTTTGCATAATTGCGCTCCATAGCAAACATGCTATGACTAGGCTATTTCGCTATACATATATACAAAAGAAGCAACTGTATAATTCGCTGGCTTCTCTTAAGATTTGTATAATTTCGCTGGCAGGCCATTTGTATAAATTGTTGTCAGCCTCTTGTTTGTATAAATCGTTGAGAGTCTCTCAATTTAATTTTATGTATTTGTATATCTGTATAAATTTTGAATTTGTATACTAATTGAATCGAAATAAAACGTTTGTATATCAAATATCGTTCTCTCTCTCGCTTTATACAAACATAAATTATACATTGTATTTTGTATAAGGGAAAAGGGTTAAATATGCCCCTAAACTATTTGAAAAAGACTAGATATACCCCCCCCCCTTTTAAAGTTTGGCTCACTCGTGCCCATGCAGTCCAACTTTTCGTCTAGATATGCCCTTATGGGTGTTAAATGCCAAATGAAATTGCCATGTCATTTTTACATTACCACGTGGCATTTATATTAAAGAGAAAAAGGTCAAATATATCCCCAAACTATTCGAAAAGGTCTAGATATACCCCCTTTTAAATAAACTACCCGACCCGTTTTCAACAAAAAAAATTTGGTAAATCCCAAAAATGAGTAATTGACTAATAAAAAATAGGAAAAATATGAAAACAATAAATAAAATTAACGCAAAAATTCACAAATAAATATAGTAATGATTTATCGAAAAAAAATAAAAATTAAAAAAATTAGTTGAAATTGTTGAATTTAAGGTTACTATATTTATTTGTGAATTTTTGCGTTAATTTTATTTATTGTTTTCATATTTTTCCTATTTTTTATTAGTCAATTACTCATTTTCGGGATTTATCAAAAAAAAATTTGTTGAAAAACGGGTCGGGTAGGGTAGTTTATTTAAAAGGGGGTATATCTAGACCTTTTCGAATAGTTTAGGGGCATATTTGACCCTTTTCCCTTTGAATAATATGTGTTTGTATAAAGCGAGAAAGAGAGAAAGGCAAAAGAGAACTGGACAGGGGAATATTTGTATTGTATAATTATAAGTGTATAGGACGAAGATATA